TATCTTTTATCTTGGTAAAGTACTTTTTGTGAGTGGCAGGAACCACTTTTTCAGTTGTCAACCTTGATTTTGTCAAAAACTAATGGACTTTAGTACACAAATCTCTAGTTTTGTCTTACCAACTGTAAGTGGCACACATACAACCACTACACCAGTGTTCAGAGATGCAGGTTGTCTCTTATTAATTTATATTTCAACTGTTTACATTCTGTTCGGCTGTGCTTGGGCTACATTTAGCATTTCATTTCCATTTCTGGTCGTACACTTTGCTGACCGTGTATCTATGTATATAAGACCCACAAATCTCATACTTACGCTATACATTGTGATACCTTGGTCATGATTGTTATCGTATTGTTAGATGCAGATTATATTGTTTGTTGAAGGCTGTTGCATTTGTTGTATTTTTTATTGTTATTGTAGCGATGTTTAGAAGCAGTATTCTTTTATTTTGTGTAATATACCAAAAATAAAAAGCGGTTAATGTTTTTTGTGTGTACATACTACGGTGTTGCAATGACTCCTTGTATTTTCGTGTACGGTTCCCGAAGGGACGAAGCTCATTGCATGATCTTCCTGTAGAGGTCTAGTGTCGCTTATCCTTAAGTACGTTCACATATTGATCAATTAGATACTGTTTGATATTGATAGTGTAACGGTTTTTCCTGATTTGGTTGATGTTAAACTTTGGGTAGTGTTGTTTTTGTATAATAATATTACGTGAGTTTTATTGTTTTTTGTATGGTTCAAAATGTGTTTATACTTTTAGCCTAAATAGGTTGGTTCTATTTACTCTAATCTGTGAATCTCCTATCTTTGTTCTACTATTTGTTAAGTTTTTTTAATTATTATTATTGTAGTTACTAGTGATAAATTAGTTCAAATGAGTTACAATTATATATTACTTACCATTTATTACAGGTTTTATTGTTTGTGATATATTTTTGTCTTATAAACATAGTCATCCTTTCTTGCCATAAAGGGATAAGCCTAATATATGAACATTATAGTTTATTTAACTTTTATCTTAATATATGGATTTCTTTGTTTTATCTTGGTCAAAGTTTACATCAACCAGATTAAATTTTAAAAGGCACCAAAAATAAATATAACTAAAGAAAACCATTTAGACATTTAAAGTTATTGTTAAAATATATTTACTATAAAAAAACTAATCAAAAGTGTTAAGATATTAAAATATAATTGTAATCTATTGTCTTGAAAGCAATAAGATTTTGTTATTAAATAAGAATGTTAAATTTAATTTAACCACGGCCTATAAAAGAGCCAATCTTATTTTGTAATTTTATTTTTTATTTTGAGAGAGTATAGTTAGATCTAAATAAATATAGCTCTTTGCCTGTTAATTCATTTGAATTTTGACATCAGACAAAAATAATTCTTTTGTAAAAGTTCACTGCACTGTACTATAAAAATAATAATATTTTAATGTTTGCTATAATTTGTTACATAAATAATTCATAAAACATCGTAAAAGATCAATTTAAAAATTATGTACTTATAAACAATAAATGTATGACAACATTATTGTCGCTATGAATAAACTTTCCAATATAAATATCACACTTACCATATGTTATTTATCCACACATAGTACTTAATAATGTAAGTTATATTTTATACCTCAATTCATTAAATAATCAGTATATATTATTGTAAGTATAAGTCATTTATTAGGTACTGTCCTGTTTTATAATTATTTTTGGAAATGGCAGAAAGAATTTGAACACAGTTAAACGTTGTAAGATGTCCATTGTATGTAAACATTTGTAAATTTAATTAGAAAAGCGAAGAAAACTCCAGAAAAAATAAATCAGAGACTATGTAATGAAAATTTGTATCCATAGTGGCTGTCCACGATTGAATTTATTATTCACATTATCACTTGCGGAAGATTTTGTACCCACAGTATTGCCACTTATAAATTGTGTTGTGAATTTCTTATCTATTATCATATAATTGTAATCAAATTATCTCAAAGCTTCCATTATTACTGATATAATTATACAAAATATTTATCCAGATAGTAGCAGCTTTTTGCATAAACAAATTGTTTCTATAATTCACTGATTTATTTAGGAGGCGATCGTTGCATTTGTGTGTAAAAAAAATTATACATAATGTGTATTTAAAAAGCAAATACTTTGGTTTGATTGAAATGCAGATTTAGTAAAAATCTCATTCTTTTTGTACTTAAAATAAAGGAAATCTTCTCATTGTATACTTATATAATTTTAAAGCGTTTTACAGTTTAAAATGCTTATTCATTCCAAACTCTGCTGTCGTATTACTGTACTTATAGCTGCAATTTTTCCACGCCTCGTAACATTACAAAATGACAATAAAATTTCAATACGAAGGCTTACACGATCGATGTGGGTTTTTGAGCTTTGCTTCTAGTCTATTTTTGTGCCACCGTCAATACATTACGTAAGTCGGCAGTTCTGTATATATAATTTATTATGCGGTTTTCTATTTAAGTCTTCCTCATAGTTCAGTAATGAGTTACCTCAAAGGTGGTCAGTCGTTACTCGAATTGTCTATTTCCGTTGTCGATTCTGCGGTTGAGCTGTTAAATAATTTTTTTCTATATATAAACTAATCTAAGCTAATTATCATAGAATAGTTTTGTACAGCGGTGGGATCAACGTGGCCCTATAATATATTTTACTACTGTGTGTGTGAATGTGTGTGTGCGTGTGTGAGAACTCTCACCTCATACAGCTGATATTGTGATGGTCTGTATAAAATAAGCTCGCTAAATGTGGATAGCTGCTTCCGCCTCCTCTTGCACAAACGATGTCACGACCGCAAACAGTTATGCTCCGTACATCTGTGGATCCTTTTGTTGACATTGAATACCGAATCGTTGTTATCCATAACTGTTTGCCGTCGAAAGGAACTATTTCCTCTATCAGTAAATGTAAATAGTTACTTTTAAAATCCCGAGCGGATTAATAAAATATTTGGTATTTTTTTAAGCCTGAGGGAATAATTTGGAACTTCCTTTGATTGTAAATATACGTGACGGTACCAAGACCCCGTGTAGAAACGTTTCCATAGGAATATGTAATTAGTATTTGACATGTAATGTACCATGTAGAATAGTGTATCATTACTGGGCCCTGACGTAACAGAACTCACTGACTTTTATCTGAAGTAGGACTTTGACTACTCGACGACTTCAACACATTTGTGAAAAGTTTAAATATATTTTCTATTGTATCCTGATGAAATAAAATGTTGGAATCAATATGCTATTATTGCTTAGCAATCTTTTGAACTCATTTTACCCTTTCCAAGCAACGTTTCCTTACTCCATTGTTTATTGTTTACGACCTTGTTTTTGTCTATTGATATTAGTTTCATAGAGTAATCAACAGATTTAATTATTATTAATTGTTGTATGCAACAAATGAATTTCTTATATTACAATTTCCTGAAAGAATGGAGATCTGATATGAGGACTATATCACAATCAGGCAGATTGTAGGGAACAAAGAATAGTTATTTGTGCAACTAGTGAGAAAAGTGAACAATTGACTCACTCGAGAGAAATCCTTACGAGCCGTAGGCGAGTGAGGAATGGTTTCTCGAGTGAGGCAATTGTACTTTGAACTCGAGTTGCACATTATACTTTTCCTACAGTTACCATAAAACAAATAAATTGGTGAAGAAACATAACCTATTTTTACACAGAAGTGAACTTTTAATATAACATTTAATGTGAAGTGACAAATACAACAGTACAACAGCTGACCAGCTGATTTACAGCCAGTGCTGCCAACGTACTTCGCGCGCATCGTTGCCTGCATGTTACGCGCTCACTATTTCGTGCCTTCACATTGCAAATCTGGATTGTCTCACTGGTGAGCGAATTGGCCACTTTGCTTTCTCAAATCAGTGAGAGAACATGTACATTGTTAGATAACTGTAGGAAAAGGTTATTGTGTCATAAGTTAGGTATTATATTTGTTAAGACAATAGAATAAGTAATTAAAATTGAGAAATACTCTATTTGGAGATATCAGTCACAGCAACATTTAACTTTTGATGGCAGAAAGAACGTTTTAAGCTGGTAAAAAATGATAATGAAATAGAAACACACAACAACCATTTAAGGATAATCTTTTACTGGTGTTCTGTGAGTAGGTTTGCCAATCTACATTATTCAAGAAAAAGAGGAAAATCACTGATATACAACAATGAACAATATTTTAGTAACAAATTAAATATTTATCTGTTTGATAACATGGATCATAAAGAACCGTTTGTTTAAACCAAACTGATTCTAGATTGCATTGTTATTTTAGCAATTAGTTAAACAAATCTCTACAAAGGAGACAAGATACCTCAATGATGCAATGTGAGGAAAGTAGGCTTGGCTAATGTTAGTATTTATCATAAATAGAATAATGTATTTCATCCACTTTCAGAACTATTATATCCCCAGAGTCAAATCCAATCAACATGAATAAAATAATAAATACTGAATGAATCAAATTAAAACATTTTAGTTTAAATCCCTACAAATATAAATTTACAAATGGCATTGCTCTGAATATCATTCTGACATTTTCCAATAATGAATTTCCAGTTTTGTATAAATTTTTTATAAATTTCAACTTTTTAAAACTATCAATTTGAGCAAAAATTTGATTTTACCAATCAAAAATAAACTAACATTCTGGTTTGAAACACTTCGGAATTTATCACCTCTTGAGAGTGAACATATCAATAAACTTACACAAATATAATGTTTAACTGTAGAATATCTTAAGCCATACAGACACACATACCACAATACAATTCTGCACAGAGACTGGCAGATAAGCGGGGCAGAAGAGAAAATTGTGGGGGGGGCGGGGAGGGGGGCCGCAGTTCAAGGTGAACAAAACTGGCTTGGCTCAATTGTTGTGGTCATCTTCATCAGAAATGCAATCAGCTGTTGCATTTACAGTGCAGTCCACCATGTCTAACCCAACTTGCAGTATTGTAATTTCTGTCAGAGTTTAGATTGAATATCACAGTATAATGTACAATTATAATACAAGTGATCAAGTGTTGGACAACGTGTGATCCGGTCTAAAGTGTTTCTGTAAATTCACAATACTGTTTTGGCTTTGACTAATACAACAACTTCTGTATCCAATAGTCAATGGTTTTGGTAAAGTGTTTTTCAAATAAGCTTTTTGAATGTATATACTGTGCCTTAAGTATTCAATTTTTAAATAACAAACATATTAGAAAAATATAATGCTTGTTTAATTTGTGTGAGGTAAATGTTTATTATAATTAATTGTAACTAAGACTGTGTGGTACTCATGAAATTAACACAATGATTGATTAAATAAGTTACAAGTTTAAGCAACAAATATTAATGATATTCTTGCTTATCATGCAGTAACTGTATACTTTTAAAAACCTAGAAGCAGTTAATCAAAATCCTCGGATATATTTTGATTAAAGCTTGCCAGCAAAGTAAAAGTAAAACCTTGATGCTAGCCACACGTGGAAACTTTATAATCAAAATTTAAAATTGGAGTAATTGAATTTGAAATTGAGCACCAAAATAATTAACTCTATATACATGTTGGTTATCTATCATCAACATCACTGCAAAGCTTCCCATCTGTTATTATACAACTCAACTCTCAACTTAGTAGTTGTAAACGATTGTGAGTGATGGATTTGTAGCTTGTGTGTAATACAAAACTATTTTTAGTTTTTTTTTTTCAGGTAAGTTTTAAAGATATGTTTTCTTTTTTGTCCACAGCCCAAGGGGAAAACTAACGAGTAATTTTTCATTGTAACTAAACCCAACTCAATTTTTTTTAGAATAGATTGTTGATTATTTTTTCTTCAATTGTCCTCTAAAATCAGAGAAGAATTAAATAACTTATTGGAAATATAATTGACAAAACCTTTGTCTTCATAGATTCTAACATTTGCATCCTGACGAGAGAAACAGAAAGCATTATTTGGCAGGTTTAATGACAATGTTTTGTTTATCTCTGTATTCATTTTTTGGTATCGATTTGGCCTTCAGATTTTAAATTATGTCAAAAAAAAACTGCATCAATAAATTTACCGAGTTTACTGGATGCGATGCTACTGCTGCCCATTTATTAACTCTTAGAAAAATATCCTATTAAATGTTTCAAAATAACATGCTTGTGTGATTCAACAATCATTCCATTTCAGATTATGATGATTGAATTAGGAGTGCCTGACCTGGTTGCATCAATTGTAATAGCTGTTTGTGTGTATTATTACATGACAGCGACCTATAGGTTTTGGAAAGATAGAGGAGTTCCCTTCGCTAAACCAGAATTTTTCTTCGGAAACATAAGAAAACCTATACTAAGACAGTTAAGCGCAGTAGATAATCACAAGTGTATTTACAATCAGTTCAGAAAAGAAAGGTTTGTTGGATATTTTGTATTCAGAAGGCCTATACTAATGATCAGAGACCCAGTTTTGATTGAGAAGATTCTTGTGAAGGATTTTAACCATTTTATCGATCGGGGAATGCCTGCTGATCCAGATTCTGAACCTCTAGCAATCAATTTGTTCTTAGCCAAAGGACAGAAGTGGCGAAAACTGAGGTATAAGTTAACCCCGACATTCACTTCTGGCAAACTCAAGAGCATGTTTGAACAGATCAGCAACTGCGGAGAAGATTTGGTGAGAATTTTGGAAACACACGCGCTGAGTAAGAATGACGTTGAGGCTAAACAAATTGTTTCGCTTTTCACCACGGATGTTATCGCCAGCTGCGCTTTTGGTCTTCAGCTCAAGGCGGACAGTCCAGAAGGTGATGAGTTTAGAAAGATGGCCAGCCAAGTGTTCACTCCATCATTGAAACAAGTCATCAAACTCAATTTCATGTTTCTTCTTCCTAAATTTGCCAAGTTTCTTGGCATCACTGCATTAGGGAAGGACATGAACAACTTTTTTCTGAATCTTTCGAAAGCTACGATAGAGTATCGCGAAAAGAATGGTGTGAAAAGGAATGACTTTGTTCAACTTTTGATCAATTTGAGACAGCAAGAGGAAAATCAATGTCCTGAAAATAGTCAAGAAGGGGATAGTGACTCGTTAATAGACCAGCTTCAGTATACAACAGCAGAGAAAATTAAATTCAGTAATGAGAAATGTAAGTATATCTTTAAAGCACTTATTTAAAATCTAAATAACTCTTTTTGTGTAGGTTTTAATTTGTTTACCATATACTGTGTATACTGTGTCTGAATTATGAAAATATTTTTGAAATTGCATTTTGTTGTGATATCCAAGTTGTTTTTTGTCGGCTGTCCTTAATTAATTATTGGGTTAAATCTCGAATACTTGAAGAGAACCGGTATATGGATCATAAAGATAAGCAAATAATGTAACTGGCCCGAAAAAAACATAATTTAACATTAGGATTTGTGCCAGCAACGTCATTTGTTTATGTTCATGATCCGGTTCTGTTCAATTCTGTTTGGTTCATACCGGTTCTGTTTAACCCTTTCAGTGCTATGAAACGATATATCGTTGTTTTAAAAAAACCCTAAGGGATATAGAGAGGAAGGTTATTAAAAAAAAAATAGCAAAACGGCCATTGGTGACCTGCATGTTCATAGGATACACTACCAATCACTTAGCTAAAAGATTCGCCCAATCCGATGATTTCGAGGTGTATGTCTAAACCAAGGATTATGAACACCTCACTATGCCCCAGTGGTTGTAGTATATCGCTACAAACACACAGGTCACCAATTATTTGCCACACAGGACGGGATTCGAACCCGAGCAGACGAATGCCACTGGCCAAGTGACACACGCCCTAGCCTTCTCGGCTATCTGTGCTTGAAGACTGGGGAGTCAAAACCCGGTATTTAAGCTGTCGCCACCGATTGCGAACAGATGGCGCTGCAGATGGTTGTTCAATGCGTTACTAGGTAGCAGCACCAGCTAGTCACGGACTATTTAGATGCAATCTTTTAGTTTTAGTAGTAGTAAATGTGTTCCTGAGACTTTGCTGCAAAACATTAGTTTCCCTAAAATTGCTATATTACAATAACCTCGTCCAACTAAATCAGGGTTAAATTCAATATTACATTGTAAACTATATGTCTTTTGATTTTGTGAGATTTCGGTTTCAAATAATGCTATCAGAACATAAAAATTTATAGGAAAACCAGGAAAATTACAACAAAAACTAAGTTTTATTTGATGTTTACTACAAATACCGGGATTTATCTTTCTTAAATATTTTCTTATTGTGTTATTATTCAAAATTAGCCTAATTAATAAAATAGTGACAACATGACAGTTAAAATTCAACAACGGGTAATGGAATTAAAAGGCAAACAAAAAAGTCTTACAAAATATGAATTATTGGCCTAGCACTGAAAGGGTTAAGTATTCATGGGTTAAATAAAAAATCATGGCTGACAATAAAACACTGAAAAAGCTTAAACGATAAAGGCACCTCAACAAGAACTAGATTTCATTTAAAGATTTTATTCCTTTCATTTTTATTTTAAAAGTTTACTCAAACAGATGATTGAAATTAGACGTCAGGGAAACAGGCTTCTATATATACATACAGATCTAATAATAATTAGTTAAACGTACAATCTTGATTTATGAAACCGCCTTATAATATCATCTGCTGGTGATTTGCAGTGTTCACGGATGAGTGTATAGCAGCTCAGTCATTTGTGTTTCTGGTCGCTGCATCCGACACAACAGCTGGAGCTCTCAGCTTTATACTCTATGCAATTGCTGAACATCACGACATACAGAAACAAGCGCAAGGTGAAGTTGACAAAGTCATCTCGGCCAAGGGTTGGAGCTATGAGGCGATGAGGGATTTGACGTACTTGGACCAAGTTATCCAAGGTACAACCGAGCATCTTAATATGTTTATAGTTCAAAACAATTGACAAGTCATCCACAACATTCCAAACATTTTGAATAATATAGGAAACTATTCTTCAGAGCTAGACACTACTCTGATGATGGCTTTGCAACAAGTCTAAAACATCAGCGTTCAGTTCTGTAACTCAGTCAGACCCTTAAGACTAAGTTTGTAGCTCTTGATTAATATCAATGTTAAAATTATTTTTACGGGTTACAGAGGGTATGCGGATGTACCCAATCGCAGCCTTCATCAACAGAGATTGTACAGAACATTACCAACTACCAGATACTAACGTGATACTTGAGGAGGGACAAAGAGTCTTGATCCCGGTTCCGGCTATACATATGGACCCGGAACATTATCCGGAACCTACTGTCTTTAAACCCGAGAGATTCCTGGGCAACAACTACCAACCATCTCCTACCTACCTGCCTTTTGGAGATGGACCTCGTATATGCATTGGTAACATTAATTTTACTATTATAATTATAGATGAGGTAAGAGGATTAAGTATTGGAAAGTTGTAGTAATTCTTTACAAGTGGCAGTGTGTTACATATAATGAAGTAAATCTGTTTATATTGTTTAATGCTCCCAGACCCAGGCTCCCATGTATCTCTTGATTCAATGTTTACCGTGAGGGTAAGCACAGTGACCAAGTACTGTTGAACATATGTGTTTAAAAATGTCTAGCACCCTGCTTTTTTTAGTGTCTAGTCATGTATAGGTACGGTAGCGTTTTTAATTAAATAGTGAAAAATGAATGTAAAGAAGGTAGCCCAATATCCTCTATTGTAAATTAATGCAGTCTGAGTACCTACCCTTTCATTTTCCTACTCTATGGTTAAATACATTTTAAACTATATTCACATTTTTGTTTCTAGCAATGAGATTTGCCGTGTTGGAGATGAAAATCTGTTTGGCTCGGATGTTGTCTTCTTTCTCCATCAGCGTGAATGCTAAGACTCAGCAGCCTATTCAGTATGATCCTCGGTTTTTCATTCCCAATGCATTGGGCGGAATTTGGTTGGATTTCAACAAAAGGCTTTTTAAAATAAATGAATAAAAGAATTTGGCTATACCGTTATTGTACTAGCAGTTACCCGGCGCGTTGCTGCGCTTAACAACTATTATTTTCCATCCCTTTTATTGTTTATAATACTTTTATAAAGGTTTTTATGTTTATTTAACATTGGAGAAAATATTGTTGAGTGCACAGGTGTGCTGCCATTGGAGTTGAATATATTTGTACTCATCCAACAGTAAAATAGTTTTCTGTGCTGCTTTCTGTGGAAACATTGTGGCACTATTTAAAATCATTCAAACCTACAAAACAATTGCCTGGTAACAGCTGTCATATTTATTTGTAAACATTGTAGTTCAAAAAGTCTGACATTGGCCCACTTAAAACCCTCTGGGGCGGAGGAGCCCTTTTGACGGATCTGCGCCAAACTTCACACAAACCATCATTGAAAGATGCTTAATAATGCCTGAAAGTTTCATTACAATCTGTTAAGCGGTTTCGGAGTCCATAGGCTAACGTATATACATATATTATACAGGGTGGCACAGATGGATAGGGTGGTTTTAAAATACTTGTCAAACTGTCAATTTTAAAGGTATTGGATTGAAATTGTGATTTCGTTGTGAATTGCAGCCTTCAAATCCTGAATGGTCCGGGGTTTGTTCATGTAGACCCTTGCTTCAGGAGTTGAAGGCTGCAATTCACAACGAAATCACATCAATTCCTGGTGATGTGCTCGAGCGAGCAATGCGGAACCTCAGGACGGACTCCAAGAATGCGTCGCTCGAGAAGGAAGGCATTTGATGGATGTAATTTTTAAAAACTAACTTAACTAATTTTTTGTCGATAAACTTCCATTGTAACTACACGTTTTGCACTTTATTTCAATCCAATACCTTTAAAATTGACAAGTATTTTAAAACCACCCGATCCATCTGCGCCACCCTGTATATATCATATATATATATATATTATAGTTCCTCTTTTTTATAGATATAGATATTAAATCTTAAAGCCTGTCCCAATATTTAACATACAGCACAAAACAGTCTAAGTATCCACAGTTTAAAACACTATTTAATGCAAGCTGATGATATTGTGATTAAAGGCAATTTTTAGTTCAGTGTGCAAAAGGAAACAAAGATAGAAAATGTTTTACTGCTACTGCTCGTGTATAAATGAAAAATGAATTAAAGCTGATTTTACATACAATATCATGTTCAGCCTTCTTTTCTGTGCAGTGAGCAAACTGGCATTTGGGTTAAAATACGCACCTAAGTGTCGTCCCCATCTTAATAATTGATAATTGATAAATATAGTGAATAGTGCACATTGTAGTGCTCCTGAATTTCTGCACAGGCTCGCCGCTCGGCCTCTTTCTTGCTAGTCACACACGTCACACGTATATTTTTCTCTGGCACAACATACTATAGAGATGAAAGCGAATGTGTTCGTCCCATAAACAAGTTTCCTCCAAAATGGGTAGAAAACACATAATAGGCCTTATTGAACAGATCTTCTAATTTAAAATAGGCCGCTTCACATAAATATTCCTTTAAAATCTTCTTAAATTAATTGATAGTTTGCTCTTGAATTATGATCCTTGGTAGTGAGTTGTAGATCTTGAAACTACTAAAATATGGGATGGGAAGAGCAGTATATGTTTTATCTATGGTGCAGTATAGGATTCGTGATTCGGGCCAGTTTTACGTAATTTGTTAATGTTTATAATCCTCACTGCTTTCTGTTCTAATTCTAATATTTTTGTGGATCTATCTTATTTGCCATCGCATTTAACACAGGATGACCGAATCTATTATTCTTTTATGTTCTCTATGACTGGAAGATCAGAGCATAGATAAAACAATAAAATAACATACTGTTTAGTCTAAGATCAGAGCTAGGAATTGGTAAAACGTTTGGAACTAGAATATTAGTTCCAGGCCAAAAATAAACAATACAAAATGCAAACTGATATAGTCAATAATGTTAACCAAAAAGACAGTTTCTTGAATAGTTCTATATAATTTTGGTACCTACCTACTTAAAAATAGTTGATATAAACAAAACTAGAATGAAATAAAAATAACGAAGATTAAACAAATTAAAATGATAGTAAACTACTTAAATATACTTTTAATAATAATTTATTTATATAACTGTTATATAATACAACATATTTTTCAAAATAATATTGGCCAAATATTATTAATGAACTTAACAGTTACATGACTAAATAAATTATGATAAAATAATTGGCAAGCATGCGGAACGAAAAAAAGCTTAGTTAGTAAACAAACAAACAACAAAGTCGATGCGACCCGACCGAGAGGTTATGTCATGTTTGGTATTTTCATTAAAAACGATTTCTGTGATTTATTTATGTGATGTCTTGTATGATTTCTTGTTTTATTTTTAATAAAATCGGGTTAAGTTGAATTATTTTCTATTTAGTTCTCCAGTACACTTTGTTGATTGACTGAAGCTACGGTAATCAGGATAGGTCAAGTTATGTGGTGGTAAGTAGGGCCTAGTCTAATATGCCTAGGTTTTGGCTAATTGTATAGTCCGTATCTATTTATTTATTTAATCAACGATCAACACCATTTCATCTGATTACATAACATATCAAATTAGAAATTGGCCTATAGGCACTTTTTACTGGATTTTTTAGGCTACAAGGAAAGGAGTACAGATCCGTAGGTCTAGTAGGGTGAGCATCGAAAGCCATTGATGGTAACATCGACGTCAACCATCGATGTACTAATAGCATTGGGGTTGCAAAAACGGTTTTCTACGTTTTCAGTTTTTGTCTGCATTTGTACTCTCCCGTAGGCCTAACTTAAGTTACCGTAATGGAAAATATTAATTAATATCTCAATAAGTACTTGGCAAAAACATTGATTTTTGACAAAAATATCGATATCACATAAATATCGGTAACCTACCATCTAGCCTATGTTAAAATCGTTGAACACCTATATTTCAAAAACATTGAAGACTATCGATGCTCATCCCTAATCCGTAGTAAGTTAAGTTACATTTTGTACCAAGAGTGTACAAATAGTACATTTTTCCTGAGTTAGGGCCTATAAAGAACCATCTTTTTTTCTTTACCTACAAATTACAGTAAGTTAAACTTAACTCTTACCGCGCTACAGATTTGTTGGGATAGCCTTGCCTGTAAGGCTATACGGTATATCAACAAATATTTTTTCCCAAAAGTCAAAGCAGATTTTTTTGTTGATAATTATCACCAATATAATAACGAACGCACGCGGAGAACAAATTTAAAGTTTCCCGCAGAGTCTGCGAGTGAACACACAACCCCAAAGTAGTTTTTGGTTAATACTTGTGAGTTAGTCCGTCCACAGCGCTGGCGTCTCTCATAGCAGAGACCGGCAGGTGTAGCGCACCACCATTTTTACATTCTGGAGAACAATAGAGGTCAGGGGAACGTTGTCATTATGATTTTCCATCACGAGAGATGTTACCCAATAGCTGCTGCACTCTATCGTCAAAACTGGGAACTACCAAGACCAGTCAATGCATTCTGTATTAAAAGGTCGAGTATAGTCGTCTATACCATTTTGAGCAAAGGGAATTTTTGGCGAGTATATTAGTCTACAACGCGGTAAGGGTTAACTTATGTTACGGTATCTTAGATGTCTCATAGACTTTGGAAATAGGCCAATAAATGGCTCAGATGTGTGGTTTTGGCGAAACCTTCTAGCGTCTCCAAGTACTTGGGAAATTATATTTTTATCAAGAAAATCATTGGAATATATTTTAGAAAGGTTAGGCCTACAGTTTTTAAAGTTACAGTTCCGCAGAGAACCTAGACGATATATTAGCAAAATAAATATAACTTCGATACATATCTTGTATCGCACAACTTATCGTTTTCACACGGTATAATAGGGTTCAATTGTATGTAACATTTGAACAATTTTAGTCAAACTTGAGGTCTTCTCAAGAGGACTCTTTACACTGCTGCGGCAGTTAGTTCAGTTTGCCTTAGTTTAGTTTATGTTAATAACAAACAATACAATATCTGTTAATAGGTCAGTGAATTTTTTCCAGCTAACTCTCCATGTTGATCAGAAATATACGTTATGGATCAAGAAAATAAGATTGAAGAATGTCCTAATAGCAATACTTGTGGGATGTTGCCAGATATTGAGATTCAAAAGAAACCAGAAGGTAGTGAAAAAGAGATAGATGAGCAAAATGAAAATGTTAAGGATAAAGAGGAGAATGCTGACGTAACAACAGGAATTTCCTTTCCAACTCTTAGTTTTAATCAACCAAAACTCATCACAGGGTCTTGGGATGAATTTAGGCCAAAGAATAACCATAAAGAGATATTTCTTAAAGGTTGTAAATGGTAAGTATTCATACATTTTTATTTTTCAAGATGGGTAGCCTATGTATTAACGAGATACATTATTAGTGGTTTAAATACCTACAGTATTATTGGTAATCCAATTGGTTGCTATGGTAATAAGTTTCAGCTCACTTTGGAGTCATCATCAGGCGTTACAAGGACAAGATCGCTTCTTCTGAAGGTCATAGTATTTTACAAGCATGCATGACTAGAGTTTTAAAAACACAATAGGCAAAGTGTGGCTTACGTCTAGACTTAATTTTTTTGGTGGAAACTTAAGTTTCTATGCATAAACTCTTGCCGGTAAAAATTCTACTAATGCACGTTGTGTGTTTGTTTTTAACTGTTTGTGATGTTGAAATATGATGACTTTCATATGAAGAAACGATCCTATCCTTTTAACGCCTGATGATGCCAAAGTAAGCCCTAATAAGTGAGTTTACCTATGTAATAATAATTTGAGTATCTTCAAATATGAAGATGGACGCATAAAACGGTGTAAAACAAAACATTCATATTTCTTGAAAACAGGTTTACAATTAATATAAGGGAAGAATAAAAAAAGTGTTACTTAGATAACCCAGGACCATTTGAATTGGGCTGTTCTAAGAATCAGATACAAAAATGTTAGTTTACATGTTTATGCCAAATTTAACTCATTGAAAAAGTAGCTTGTAACTTTCACAAAGTCAGTGTGTGAATAAACTACAACGGTTTAGTCAGTATATCAACATTATTTACACCTTTAAAAAACCCCTTTACTTTGCATTTTGAAATTAAAATTGGTCTTGTGTAGTTAATTGTATATTATCAATTAATACCCAGTAACTCACCAGTTAAAGCCCTACTTATGTTTGTAACATGTCTGTTAGGTCTCCAGATGGGACGTGTTTGTTGACTAACAGTGGAGACGCCACCATGAGACTGTTTGACCTACCTCTAGACCTGTACAACTGCCAGTGTCTGCACAAGACAGACTTCCCAGAGCTACAGTCAGCTGTAGTGTAAACTATTTATGTTTGTAACATGTCTGTTAGGTCTCCAGATGGGACGTGTTTGTTGACTAACAGTGGAGACGCCACCATGAGACTGTTTGACCTACCTCTAGACCTGTACAACTGCCAGTGTCTGTACAAGACAGACTTCCCAGAGCTACAGTCAGCTGTTAGTGTAAACTACTTATGTTTGTAACATGTCTGTTAGGTCTCCAGATGGGACGTGTTTGTTGACTAACAGTGGAGACGCCACCATGAGACTGTTTGACCTACCTCTAGACCTGTACAACTGCCAGTGTCTGCACAAGACAGACTTCCCCGAGCTACAGTCAGCTGTTAGTGTAAACTATTTATGTTTGTAACATGTCTGTTAGGTCTCCAGATGGGACGTGTTTGTTGACTAACAGTGGAGACGCCACCATGAGACTGTTTGACCTACCTCTAGACCTGTACAACTGCCAGTGTCTGTACAAGACAGACATCCCCGAGCTACAGTCAGCTGTTAGTGTAAACTACTTATGTTTGTAACATGTCTGTTAGGTCTCCAGATGGGACGTGTTTGTTGACTAACAGTGGAGACGCCACCATGAGACTGTTTGACCTACCTCTAGACCTGTACAACTGCCAGTGTCTGTACAAGACAGACATCCCCGAGCTACAGTCAGCTGTTAGTGTAAACTACTTATGTTTGTAACATGTCTGTTAGGTCTCCAGATGGGACGTGTTTGTTGACTAACAGTGGAGACGCCACCATGAGACTGTTTGACCTACCTCTAGACCTGTACAACTGCCAGTGTCTGTACAAGACAGACATCCCCGAGCTACAGTCAGCTGTTAGTGTAAACTATTTATGTTTGTAACATATCTGTTAGGTCTCCAGATGGGACGTGTTTGTTGACTAACAGTGGAGACGCCACCATGAGACTGTTTGACCTACCTCTAGACCTGTACAACTGCCAGTGTCTGTACAAGACAGACATCCCCGAGCTACAGTCAGCTGTTAGTGTAAACTACTTATGTTTGTAACATGTCTGTTAGGTCTCCAGATGGGACGTGTTTGTTGACTAACAGTGGAGACGCCACCATGAGACTGTTTGACCTACCTCTAGACCTGTACAACTGCCAGTGTCTGTACAAGACAGACTTCCCAGAGCTACAGTCAGCTGTTAGTGTAAACTACTTATGTTTGTAACATGTCTGTTAGGTCTCCAGATGGGACGTGTTTGTTGACTAACAGTGGAGACGCCACCATGAGACTGTTTGACCTACCTCTAGACCTGTACAACTGCCAGTGTCTCTACAAGACAGACTTCACCGAGCTACAGTCAGCTGTTAGTGTTAACTACTTATGTTTGTAACATGTCTGTTAGGTCTCCAGATGGGACGTGTTTGTTGACTAACAGTGGAGACGCCACCATGATACTGTTTGACCTACCTTTAGACCTGTACAACTGCCAGTGTCTGCACAAGACAGACTTCCCAGAGCTACAGTCAGCTGTTAGTGTAAACTATTTATGTTTGTGACATGTCTGTTAGGTCTCCAGATGGGACGTGTTTGTTGACTAACAGTGGAGACGCCACCATGAGACTGTTTGACCTACCTCTAGACCTGTACAACTGCCAGTGTCTCTACAAGACAGACTTCACCGAGCTACAGTCAGCTGTTAGTGTTAACTACTTATGTTTGTAACATGTCTGTTAGGTCTCCAGATGGGACGTGTTTGTTGACTAACAGTGGAGACGCCACCATGAGACTGTTTGACCTACCTCTAGATCTGTACAACTGCCAGTGTCTGTACAAGACAGACTTCCCAGAGCTACAGTCAGCTGTTAGTGTAAACTATTTATGTTTGTGACATGTCTGTTAGGTCTCCAGATGGGACGTGTTTGTTGACTAACAGTGGAGACGCTACCATGAGACTGTTTGACCTACCTCTAGACCTGTACAACTGCCAGTGTCTGCACAAGACAGACTTCACCGAGCTACAGTCAGCTGTTAGTGTAAACTACTTATGTTTGTAACATGTCTGTTAGGTCTCCAGATGGGACGTGTTTGTTGACTAACAGTGGAGACGCCACCATGAGACTGTTTGACCTACCTCTAGACCTGTACAACTGCCAGTGTCTCTACAAGACAGACTTCACCGAGCTACAGTCAGCTGTTAGTGTAAACTACTTATGTTTGTAACATGTCTGTTAGGTCTCCAGATGGGACGTGTTTGTTGACTAACAGTGGAGACGCCACCATGAGACTGTTTGACCTACCTCTAGACCTGTACAACTGCCAGTGTCTGCACAAGACAGACTTCACCGAGCTACAGTCAGCTGTTAGTGTAAACTACTTATGTTTGTAACATGTCTGTTAGGTCTCCAGATGGGACGTGTTTGTTGACTAACAGTGGAGACGCCACCATGAGACTGTTTGACCTACCTCTAGACCTGTACAACTGCCATTGTCTGTACAAGACAGACTTCACCGAGCTACAGTCAGCTGTTAGTGTAAACTACTTATGTTTGTAACATGTCTGTTAGGTCTCCAGATGGGACGTGTTTGTTGACTAACAGTGGAGACGCCACCATGAGACTGTTTGACCTACCTCTAGACCTGTACAACTGCCAGTGTCTCTACAAGACAGACTTCACCGAGCTACAGTCAGCTGTTAGTGTTAACTACTTATGTTTGTAACATGTCTGTTAGGTCTCCAGATGGGACGTGTTTGTTGACTAACAGTGGAGACGCCACCATGAGACTGTTTGACCTACCTCTAGACCTGTACAACTGCCAGTGTCTCTACAAGACAGACTTCACCGAGCTACAGTCAGCTGTTAGTGTTAACTACTTATGTTTGTAACATGTCTGTTAGGTCTCCAGATGGGACGTGTTTGTTGACTAACAGTGGAGACGCCACCATGAGACTGTTTGACCTACCTCTAGATCTGTACAACTGCCAGTGTCTGTACAAGACAGACTTCCCAGAGCTACAGTCAGCTGTTAGTGTAAACTATTTATGTTTGTGACATGTCTGTTAGGTCTCCAGATGGGACATGTTTGTTGACTAACAGTGGAGACGCCACCATGAGACTGTTTGACCTACCTCTAGACCTGTACAACTGCCAGTGTCTGCACAAGACAGACTTCACCGAGCTACAGTCAGCTGTTAGTGTAAACTACTTATGTTTGTAACATGTCTGTTAGGTCTCCAGATGGGACGTGTTTGTTGACTAACAGTGGAGACGCCACCATGAGACTGTTTGACCTACCTCTAGACCTGTACAACTGCCAGTGTCTGCACAAGACAGACTTCACCGAGCTACAGTCAGCTGTTAGTGTAAACTACTTATGTTTGTAACATGTCTGTTAGGTCTCCAGATGGGACGTGTTTGTTGACTAACAGTGGAGACGCCACCATGAGACTGTTTGACCTACCTCTAGACCTGTACAACTGCCATTGTCTGTACAAGACAGACTTCCCCGAGCTACAGTCAGCTGTGAGAACCAAGGTGGGGGGTCTGGTGTATGACTACTGCTGGTATCCTCTCATGAACTCTAGTGACCCTTCTACGTGTTGGTAAGGCTAATATTACATACTTACACATTATCTTCCTCATCTGGACGTCAACAAGGTGTCTTTACCTTCTCTAATCCCTCTTCTTCTCTACCATGAGCCAACTCATTAGAGCCTTATGATCATCGTCATGAACTTTACAAACCATTCTATTTGCTGGTGAAGTTCTAAAGATTTTATCATACCAACATACTTTTCACCGTCCTTTAGGCCTCTTCCTAGGTTTTCTTGTGCCTACATAATTTATCTTTCACCGCCATCAGCCAAATCATTATTCCTCCTCCTGATAAGCTGTAAATCTCTCTACTTGCTGGTGAGGATGTGGATATTAGGCTACATATTCTCCCGGCTATTAGAGTACAGTATTTAGATAGCTTACTCCTGGAAGTGGGCGTTGGTTAGGATATCATTTTCCCGTATCCTTCATCCTTCTTTATTTATTTGCTATCATACTCTTTTCTTCACATCCCTCTCATTAATATATAATACTGTAGGTCTTCCTTTCGACCAGATTCCCTAAAGAAGTGTAAAATATCTTTTCTAGACAATCTTTATTCTTGAAATCCTTTTGAATTTCAAACAATCTTAGTCTTGTTTTTCCTACTCACATTATGAAATAATATAACTTGTATACTTGTTTGCTACTGTACCAATATAGTCAAACTATTTCTTTGAAACTGCAGCTAATCACCTTTTCCTGCAGTTTTCTGTCTTTTAAATTCCATAATTAAATTGCACAAAATCAAATTTCTTTCAGACCTATTAAATACAAGTTTTTGAGATTTTGCAATTTCCAGATTACCTAACAATAATACTATTCTAAAGGTCAAATACCTTGTTGCCAATGTAATTCTTGGTCATATGAATGGGCGACCGGTTTCACTCCTTAAGGTGTCATTAAGCTATAGACGTGTGATATCACTCCTAGGAGGTTGGCGAGAAGTCTTCAAAACACATACACCAACACACACATAAATAAACAGTTTTACAAAAGAATACTGTATGGCCCATACAATTAATAATTAAGGCCCGCTGCAGGTCCGTGGTTATCAGCTATATTGCCTTTTAATCATTTCTTTATGAATGAGACTGCTTCTGACTCGAACAACGTTTTTTGTTGAGAATATGTTGGGGTTATTTCTTGCCGGCCTTGAAAACGGGTATTTCTTGCTAATCGGTTTTTTGAGTCAGACACGATTTACGAAGAGGGGGTTTTAAGTTGGTATTTTTTGTTTGTTTCAGTTTTATAACCACCAGTTTTAGTGCTCCCGTACACTTGTGGGACGCTTTCTCAGGCAAACTTCGTTGCTCCTACAGAGGATTCAATCCGTGAGTATTTGTCTCATGTTTTCTGTTTACAGATAATGGTACTTAGATTATGTATATTTGTAAAACACATGACTTTTTTCAACTAAGTATATTTTTTCTGCAGTTAGTTATTGTCTGT